TTTTCACTTTTTTCATCACATATATAATAAAGTGTAGTCCAATATATGTAAAGCCTGATTATGACTGTCATATTGTTTTGTCCTTCTAGCACAGTTTGCGGCACTCCTAACTACATTGCTCCCGAGGTGCTTCAGAAGACGGGACATAGCTACGAGGCAGATGTATGGGCCATAGGTTGTGTGCTGTAAGTAGATAACATTGGCCAGGTTCACAACCAGTTGATCCCTGGACTAACTAGTCTGCAGATCAAAAATGGCGTGACCCCCTTAAAAGCATGCCGAGATTTAATTATTTTGCCCCTGCTTGGAGGATGTGCTACTGATCGAGGCAGGAATCCATTGTTAAGTGCATGACATATTTGATCTGTGGACTAGTTAGTCTGCATACAAACTGGTTGTGAATGGGACCATAGAGAAAACATTAAGAAAGTAGTCAGTGAGCACTGAAATCTGGCAAAGCAGCTCGATTCTAAACATCAGTTAATTAATTGATTTATTGATTAATAGATCACCATAAAAGTGCAACTGATTCTTTCCTGGTAACTTATATAAAATCCATCCCAAACTTTTTGAGTAAGGCTATGAATTAACAATGAGAGTGACAAACCAACAAAGTCAAAAACATTAGCCCCTTGGCATAGGTAATAATTAAATTATGCATATCAAATATGAACACTTCTCTATGTTAGTTCACCATTGTTTTGTATTGCTGTATACTTTGGTATGCATTTGAGGATTTTAGACTGCATAATTTAATATAATTTGCAAAGAGAGAGGTAATGATAATGAATGATAAATGATTCCTTTGTGAAATTTCGAAACAAAAAGGAGGTTGTTTTTATGCAAAGACAAAACTTCTTGATTAAGTAAAGTGATTATTAGACAAAACAATTTTGTCAAGCAAAACAGCAGTTATTTCGATGGGAAATCTTTACAAGAACTCAAGTGTAAAGCAAACTGAACATAACCTTAAAATAGTCTTTGAAAATAGTACATTATCATGTTTCTTTCTAAGAGAAAAAAAGTGAAATATTGGCATTATTACAGAATAAATTCAGAATGCACTTACTCATGCAACAAAACCTGTAAGTGTATTTTTTTGCTGTAAGTCTTTTCTATTTCTGGTGCCTGTGTGTCTCAACAAAGAAATATTATGATTTAAGTTTTAACCTGAGATGACAGTCAACTTTAGTGCAGATCGACATGGTTGTTGAAATCGTACCAGCATTATAATCTCATATTTATGAATTAAGATGGTGGCAGTAAACATAATACAAACTAGGGCATATGGATTTAAAGTACTTTTCCTCAACATATTTTATATTTGTGTAGGTTTGAATGTTTTTTGTTGTTGTTAAAGTTACATTAATTTTTTTATCCAGGTATGCCCTTCTAGTAGGCCGTCCACCATTTGAAACAGCAACATTGAAGGAGACATATATGAGAATCACATCAAACAAATACAATGTTCCTGCCCACATATCAAATGAGGCGAGAAACTTAATTAGGAAGTGCCTCAATCCGCACCCCGACCAGCGCCCCACTCTGGACCAGATTATGCAGGACGAGTTCCTCGTCTACGGCTATATTCCCAAAGTCTTGTCTGGGGCTTGCTGCACCTGTGCGCCAAAGTTCCCAGTTATTGAAACATTATCAAGGTAAGGACAACAGTCAGAATGATGGTAACGCTTTGATACTGCAGGTGTCTCTCTGATATTTAGAGTAACAGAGTTATCAATGTCATGTATTTTAAAGTTAAACGCAAATGGTGTGGTTTCTTCATCAATATTAATCAAGTTTTGAGATCAGTTAGCATTATATGCTCTTTTAAAACATTTTGACTTTATTGTTGTGAGATAAGTTCAATATATAAGGTCATGCACGTAGGCTCATTAAAAGGGCTTTTTTTTGTGAATTTGTTCAGCTAATAAACAAATTAGTACGATATGACATGAACGACCCAGTTGCACACAGTATTTTGAATGAATGAATGAAAAAGGTGAAAATGACAACTGACTATACTATACAAAGTATCAATGTTTCATCAAACCCCATTTTCATGAAGTTATTGACACCAATGTTTTGCACCCGTATGCCTTTAAAATGTCACCTTCATACATGAATGTGTCTTGTAAGTGCATTATTTTTGTTAACCTATATAAACTTACACTTAAATAATGAATTTGCAGTGAACTTTTCAATCCTAGTGGCTGTAGCTTGGATATAATGTACATTAAACTGTTGAGAAATATTTATTAGCTCAGAATGCATCATTTAGTATGATCATGTGTGAAGTGTCGTTTGGATACGCAAGCCACTATGTGATGAGCGCGTGAGAATTGAGTAACACAGTCATAGTATGCAGGTTGCATGTGTATAATACATCTTAGAATCTCTCTCGCATGGTGTAAAGGATCATCACTTTATGTGCTTTAATTATTAATACAACTGTGATTAAGTGTACATTATTTTCTCAAATCATTCTGTGATGTGTTAATGTTTCAGTAGTCGTCCCAAGTCCTATGCCGTACCTGTCTCCAACCACGAAGCCGTGCAAAAAATAACATCTTCCCTCGCTCAACTGAAGAATCATTCCTCAAAACTTTTGTCACCTGGGGTACGTAGATTTATCTTTATGACTCTGAGGTTTTTTCATTCTAGGTACTAATGATGGTGATATGTATTACATTACATTTTCCAGAAAGTTTGAAAGTGTGATATAAGACTCTCCTTTCTCAGCTTGTCAGCTAACTGTGGTAATATGGATATTAAAATGTATACAGCAGCTGTTGAGTCATCCACTATCTCTGGATTCATCAGTCAGTTGAGGTTTCCCCTGGCTTCCTATTAAAACCAAAAACAAAAGACAAGAAGACCACTCCGGCTGTTATAATGATCTGCGGCATGATAGATAATACATAGATAATGATGTCATTATAAAATTGGACAGTATGTCAATGACAGTGAGGGAAAACTGACACCAGACCCATGCTATGATTTTTTCTACATAAATTTAATATTTCCATTGTTTCTCAAAAATTGATAGATTGCTCAGTTATAAAGCCCATCTGGCTGTTTTTTTATTTCAAAATATAACTTGATCTTCATCAAACAGGGCACTCGGCCATCTCATCAGGTTAGATGTCAAGGCTCTAATTACTCTATGCAAATCTTCACCCTTGTAAAAGGATAAGATTTTATGCTCACTTATGTCCCTCATTTAAGGTACTTAATGGCTATTATAAATGCATATTAAATTGTAGACAAGGACCGCTAGGGTAGGCACTCATGATAATGGATCATTTATGTATTTTATCATAATTCAGCTGTCCAGGAAGTCTCCCAAGCCACTTGCCCAGGGAACGGTACGCGATAAGGACAATGAGAGGTTGACACTCAGTCCTGTCACCGCGCAGACACTGGCGCCACCTGTGATAGCTGGGGGCTTTCACCCTGTCATATGTCCAGATAGATGTAAGTAACCACCAGTCTTCAAATAAAAAAAAGAAAATTTTTAGCCAATTTTATTTAAATTTGTTCTCCATTTTGTTATCATATATTCTTTGAGGTGAAGGTTATCAACTCTGTTCTAAGTTAAGTGTGAGCTGTTGTACAGTCAGGTGCAATTTTATGCTGCACAAACAGTGTAAACATCTTTGTTATGAAACTTAAACATTAAAAAAACAAGCACGTTTTAAAGTTGTTTTTACATTTGTTCTCATTTGACATTGTTCAAATCATTTAATCATAACTACAAGCCGTCCTGGAATACCATCCTTAAACCCCAAACTCGGGACCTAGCACAACAAAAGACTTGTTTTCTGCGTGGAGACAAATTGATGAGTCTCATTTAGTTCTCTTATATCTTGACATATCAAATACATAACAGATTGACAAGATAACGTGATTGCCTGACCTTGGGTAATATGGCTGACGTGATAAGAACCTATCCTATATCATTTGACCCTGGACTAAAAGCCTAAAAGATCAAAGGTGTTGCTATTTTTGAGGTATATTTTTCAGACGAAGGATGAGTAATATCAAATCATTTTTCTAAATGATGTTTTGATGTCAATATTTGGGAAGATTGTGTTGTGTGAAGTTACTTTATGGTAAATGTGTTATCTGTATCTCAACTAACACAATGGTTGTGACTATTCCAGCCCAGTCTCCCAAGCCAGGCTCTGCAGCCAACCTCCTCTCCCATCTGGAGACCTGCCTCAGAGCATCAAAAACAGGTGATTGTGACCAAGAAATTGTCTGAATTTATGAATAAGAATATATATACATATCATTATCAGTTCTTAAGACTTAATTTTTCACAAATGATACAGTTATCAGTTCTTCAGATTTAATTGTTCGGGAATGATTTTAATGTAGCTAATTCAATTAATGACATAGGTAGGGTTCTTGAAAACAAGAGTTTGGAATAAGAGTTACTTGTGGAGAAAAAAAACAAACAAATTTTTCATCTATGTTGTCACCGCTGTCTCTAGTTTGTAGTGTTTTTTATCTTTTTGTCACTGCCGGCCCTAGCAGTGCCTCTAAACATCATGACCATGTTATTTTAACTCATTCTTTATTAGGAATTCATTGTAAAGTACCTTGTTTTTAAGTTTACCTGTATATTTTTCTCATCCAGTGTCTTCCCTGGCCCCAGGGTCCACCAATGCCAATATCCTCTGGGTTACCAAGTGGGTGGACTACTCCAATAAGTACGGCTTTGGCTTCCAATTGTCCAACAAGATGGTGGGGGTGCTTTTCAATGACATGTCCAGAATGGCGTTGTCTTCTGATGGAAGGTAAGGATTGAAATTTAGGAACAAAATGAAAATTCAATCTTCACTTGATTATTCATAGCTTAGATTAATTCAGTTACCTTTGTAGCTTTGTTGATATAAGATGTGTCAATTTTGATGAAGGTATAAGAGCACTGTAAATCATTTCATGAAAGTAAATTATATATATATATATATATATATATATATATATATATATATATATATATACTGGTAGTCAGTTACCATGCTTTACCTTTTCTTTTTATTTAAACCACTGAAAGTTGAGAAGTTTTTTAGTGAGACTGGATATCCTTGGATATCCTTGGATATTTTTTCTTATCTATTTTTTACTATTTATAGGGAAATCAACTATTTTGATGTCACAGACAAAATGTCAACATTTGCGACAGAAAACATTCCACCCTCCTTGCAGAAAAGAGTCCAGTTATTGTTGTATTTTGGTGCTTATATGGACGAGCATCTGATCCGTGGTGGAGATATTCAAGGTCCTCGTCATGCAGGATGTGAGCCTGTTTACATGAAGAAATGGTTCCGAACTTCCAAAGCCATCGTCATGTATCTTAGCAATAGAACATTACAGGTAGGGATATTTGTGCTGCATATTTTAAAACATAAGCTGTGAACAAGTATTTTAATGAATCTTTAAACAGTTTCACTTTCATTTTACCAAACACCTTTCCTGAATTTAAGAAAGAAAAGAGATGAAAAATCCGAACAAATCTCTATTTAAATGATATCAGTAGAAAATAGACTGGCTTAATTACTATTAATAAAATGGAAACTAAAAGAAATTTCACCAATACATTGTTTTCAGTTGTAGTTAAATGGGCGACTTCAGTTATGGTCACGTTTTGCAAGTTAAAGTTTAACACCAACATATTTCCACTTTCAGATCAACTTCTTTGATGACCACACGAAGATCATCCTGTGTTACCAGCCAGAGATAGTGGACACCACCTACCTGGTCACTTACATCAACCAGGACCGCGTGGCCACCACGTACTTCTTGTCCCAGTTGACCAGCTACGGCTGTCCCGCTGTCGTCCACGACAGACTGCTCTACGCCAAGAACATGCTGCAGAACATGATTGACATTGATGGCGATGATATTTAATCATGGTGAAAAATAATGTTCTTGTGTGGGAACCATTCCCCGTTTTTTTTTTTCACAACTGATCTCAATGCAGTACAATTGAATTGCAACATCACGATGATATATAACTGATGAAAGCTGTAGTTTGAGATGTCATGATGTTATTTTGGAGAACTGGTGATTCGATTTTTTCTTTTTGACAATGCAATGTCCTGGGTTTGACCAATCAGGAAGAAAACATTCTGGTGCTTTGGAGATATACAAGTAGATGCCTTACATCTTCAATGCAATGTTTATAATCATTGCCCTATACCTGGATTTGAAGACATTGTTCTTTGTGTTTCTTTCATATATTAGACAAGTGACTCCAGAACACTTTACAATTGAGTAAAGGAGGATTTATACTTAAGACATGGATCGCATCAAAGAATAATATGACTTTTTCATCTTAACTGTTTTCATGTGAAAACACTTCAAAAGAAAAAAAAACGACTTCCCTGATACTTCTGCCTTCACTTTATAAGAAGAATTATGAATGTGTTCTTCACATGCTTATACAAGAGAAAAGTTCTACCATTTTTTACCAAATAGAAAAGCATGATTTTTACACTTACAGCTCTTGAGTGCAAAACAGTAACAGGTACAATGTTCAACTGTCAGTTACTGCAAGGCAATACAATGGCAGCAATTGAGGCTTCCTAATTTGTCTATTCACTGTGGTATCAAAACCAAAAGGGTGGAACCAATATCCAAAATGTCTTCCATGTACTTATATCAGGGATTGTGAGCAATATGTTTGTAAGGCAAACTTTAGACAGATCTCTTGTGATTTAAGATTCAGTTTATAGGAAAGTGCCATTGGAATTCCAAAATAATGGTGTGTATATAATTATCTATATATAAGGGTACTCTTCCAACTGTTTAATTTTTTTTTTCAGTGATCTCATTATTTATCTCATTAACATTGTTATAGATGTTAAGCCAAGTTTTAATCAGCTAAGGGTAACTTGAACTTATGAAAAATTTTCCTTGTAAAACCCAAGTTTGTTTCATTTTGTGGGTAATTTTGAAAATTCCGTTTTTGTAAGGCTTGTGATTTTGGTGCTGTTTCCCATTTGGAGGTAAAAATTATATTATCAAGCAATGCATACATGGGAGAGAATGTACATTCCACAGTATGCTCAGAATCAAAATGAGTATTGTAAATACATACCAGTTAAAGTGTTATAGGTTGATTTTGTTTCAAGTGCAATGCTTTTTTTTCTTTGTACATAAGTTTTCAGTTGTCATATCTTATGTTAAGGCAATTTTGTTTGTGAACAGCCTAATGGTGTTGAAGACAAGGTGAAAATTGAGTGTTGTGGACTGCAATGTTTTCATTGAATGAGGTTGCACATCCCATCTTGATGGTGAGAACTTGGTTTTCTTTCAGAAGTTGTGAAAGACCAATTTAACGCATTTCAGTTAGTTTATTTTTCATTTTCATTGTAAGAATTTATGTTCATTCAATAAATTATCATGAAAGATCAAATTTGGGTTGATCATTTAAAGATGTGCATGCTACGAAAGAGATGACAATTATTAATATGAAATCCAAAGTTCCTCAATAAATACATTGAAAATGACAGATAATAATTTAAATTCCATCTTTCCACCAAAATGCAGTTATGGCAATTATTCTGAAATCTGTGCTTGGCATTGGACCACGTGGACCTTCATAGACGGCTATCCTCTGTAATAATTGCTAATGAGATTTTAAAGACACAATTTTAAAAATAAAACTGAATAATTTTGAATATGGGAACAGATTTATTAACCATAAGTAAGTGCAGGAAAATTGGTGTTTACTCCAGGAAAATCTGTCTCATGGCACCACCAGAATGTTTCCCTTTTACAGTTGGCAGATTTATGTGTTTACATTTGCCCAGAATTTAGTTGAAAAATAAACATTTTAATTGACCATAATTTTAGAAGATTAAATTTTTTCATACAATTAATATTTTATGTTGTAGCAGGTTCCAGGTTCCAGCACTCAACCATAAGGTACCATATTCTAATACCTTTCTCTTTATCAAAATATTGGCAATTTCAGTGGAAATTTCTGAAATGTAAATCATTTTCATTAAATATACACCAATGAGACCAAGATAAGCATAACAAACAAAAACATTTCCTCATTAAGCTTAATTTATTTGCTTAATCTTTAAGTCCATCTTACATTTTACACCCAATTCGATGTCTGGGAATAATTAAATCATGTAATTTATCTGTCACTCAACCTGAATCAATGGGACAAATTATTTACAGAGGTTAACACTTATGTACAATTGAAGTTTATATATTTAAGGAAAAAGTCCACTTTCCTTTGCTCTACCAACTTTTTACAATCATCTTAAACGAGTGGATCAAATTTTCCTTTTTTATCTATTCTAAACTAAAACCTACACTACAGTAACAAGCAGACTGCTTGATCATTTCATTCCCTACGTAAATACACATCAATATCAAATATCAAACAAGCACATATCATATAATTCAGAAAGACTCAATTCAACTTATTATGGCAATGATTCTACAACCATATCATTTCATACAGCCATGAAATGTGAGAAGAGAAGCTAAATCTAGTTTCTCCACTGAATATAGTTCTACACTACAATGTTGTGCTATTAATACAGGTTCACTGGGAATGACGGTACGTATCACAGATTAGAAAATTGCTTGCAACTTCTTCAAATAGCATTCAGCACAACTGCACAATCCGTCTACAGCTAGTTCTAGAAAAAAAAGTACAAAATAGTGGAGCAGCTGTAATACAGCATTTCCAAGAATAAACAAGTTGGCGATTTTAAAAATCTAAACCAATTTTAATACATATGCCGAGTTGCAACTTAAAGAATAAAGCTATCTGTAGTACAGGTATACAAATAATGTCTGAGTGACATTTTTTTAAAGAGTGATTACCACTTAGAAATAATATGACAAGAGGGGCCCACGTCAACTTTTTTTTTTATACCTGGCCCACAAATTTAAAGAAATGACACTTCTATTCATTTCATATACTGATTCATCCTTTAGCAATTTTCAATAAAACCACAATATTTCTTGACTTAACAATATAAACCGATGGAAACGTATGATAATAATGAGTGAAATTTATAATCACAAGACTAATTTGGTGAAATTTAAAGACATGCAATATATAAATCAATAGCTAAGTGTTTCAAAATAAATTCATCAACACTGAACCAAAGTCCAACACAAAATCTAACTCTCACCAAACAGAAAATGTCCCAACAAAAATGTAATTTACAAATAACATTTACTGAAATCATCATTGTCTTGAATGTTCGGGTCAAAAATTGAAATTGTGGCCCTTCACTGTCCTGCAGCAGGCAAAACACACCATCTCAGCATATTTCAAGACAAACTTTGTAAACATTTATTTATCTTAAAACCATTTTACAGCACCATATTCTGTGACAATTATTAGAGGACGGACCCTCTCCTCTCAGAATATGATGAACATTTACAGTCAGACTGTTCCTGACTGGTGGTAGAAAAGAGATCAGTGGGCGTTTCAACTAAGTTGAAAAGTTTTTCATTGCCCCACAAACCCAATGTGTGCCAGTGAAGACTTTCAAATGGCCACGGGGCATTTCATCATGAAAAACAGAATAGTTACAACTTCACTTTGAGTTTACAATGAATCACAATATTTTAAACAGCTTCTTATTGGCTGTTTTCTGTAGTAATGCACCACCTAATTGGCTGTGAAACTGTCCCAGCATGCATTAGTCAAGTAACCAAGGTTCCCATTGCCAGAGACCTCATGTCACATGTTCCCTCTTTGGATTTATAACTTACACAGCATGTATCAATCACTAAAACAAGCCATCCATTGGCTGCGATCTCAAGTCATGTCTCTTCATTGGCTGTGAAACATTCACAGGAAGTAACCAGTTGAGTTATGGATCTTTCTATTGACTGAAGGCCAAGTCATGGGATCACTGCATGTAAGTATATGAGCTCCCAGGCTGTGGGGCTTTCACAGGGTGAACTAATGTCACATCCAGCTCAGGGTTGTGTTCATGCAGTGAAGTTTCACGGTAATGAAGGACCAAGTCCAGTAGAGTCTGATGAATAAAGAAAGGTTCGGCAAACCCAAAGCCTGTCGCCTTGTGTTCTATTACACAGTGCCCTGTTCGGCCATTTGCACTGAAGGAGAATAACAGCAATGTCAAATTATATGTATTTATTTTTTCTTCAATATCTCTTTTACTTTCAAAGATAGCTTATTGAACACCTTGTTTTGCATAATGTTATATAAGCTATTTTCATTTAAACTGAAGCGTTTAATTTTCAAAATGTACAAACTGCATGTTAATTTGGTACAGTTATTCTGTAAAGAGAATGACATCTTCAGAGCACCTGACGCCACACTTTACTTACTTTAATGACAGCGCGTAGGAGTTCATCTTGCTGCTAGGTCGGATCAGGAAGGTACCGTCTGGCTTGTTCTGCAGGAGGTTCTCAGCCGTGTACCTATCACAGTCGATGTACCATGTGCTCTCGTTGTAGTGAGCTATGCTGGGGAGGTCGTTATTCATGACAGGGGCACTGAAATTATCAAAATACTTTTTCTAAGTATGGAAGACAGAACTTCACTTCTCCATTCTGAAATGTAGTTATATTGATAAAACAAAGGTTCATAGCCCCTTTCTCTATTTAATGATCATGGTTAAATTAAAATTTTCACAACATTAAATTTATATTCAACTAAGTCTCAATGCAAATAAAAACATCATTTACAATAAAAATAAATAAATAAATAATTATTAAAAAACACCAACATCATATGGAGTAATTTTTTCAATAATCTAAAAGACTGATCCTGTGGTTAATAGTCTTACCCGACATAGTAGGGTTCCTCCTCATCAGGAGTACCCTGACTAATCCTCCTCTCTGTCTCCCCTAGCAGCTTTTCATCTATGTAGTCTTTGTTCACATTTTTGTCAATCAGGTATCTGAAAACAAGAAAATAAAAAAATGTGAAAAATATTGATTAAAAGATAAATTACGCTCTTGAAACATGAAGAGTTGCACAGTTGCTGTAACATATAGTAAGAAGAGGAGAAAATCAAGTTCAACTTTAAGTTAAAATTGCCACATGTAGAATTCCTTTGTCAAATGGTACTTACTTAATATACTGTTCCCGTAGTTTGTATTCTCTCTTGATTTCTGGTTTCAGACTGTTCATCTCCTCAATGAGGCGGCGGTTCTCTTCAGTTTGATATCTCAAATCTTCCTCCAACTGTTCTTTACTTCTCTTGATTTCCTGAAGTCGGTCAGCTAATAATTTGTAGTTCTCCTCTAACCTAGAAGAAAAAATACCAACAATGACATACCAAAGAAACATAATTCATAAATGAGAATCACTGTTATAACTAACTCAATGTTAAATTTTAAAGACTTTTAGATAACAGTCAACTTAAATTTTACATAATGGCAATGTTTAATTTGACCAAACTCTATCGTCCTAAAATCTGCCCAGAATTCCACTTACTTCTGCAGCTCGTGGGGCTGGGCCTGCTGCTTAAACTTGTCGTGAAGCGTAATCTGGTCCTCAAATACCGTGATTGTTTCTGAGAAGGCATCCAACGCCTGGTGCTTAAGTTGAAGCTCCTGGAATTCAAATCATCAAGAGTGAGTTCATTGGCTTTGCCTTCAATTGGAATCAAACGAACTAAATAAATAAATTGATATTTTATGAAATGGAACTGCATAAAAACTTTCCAGTTTGTTAAGTAGGGAGGTTTTAATTTCACACACCTGCGTAGTTCTTGAATGTCCATCATACAGCTTGTCATATTTCAAAGTCTTCTTCAAGTATTCCCTGTTGATCTCCACCAGTCTCTTACACACCTCATCTAAATTGGCGTTCAAGTCCGCATCTTCAGCCTGAAATTGTCATCATGAAAAAATCAAATATGCATAAAAAAGACGAATCCTGCAATGTAGTAAATATAATTTGTTAGACATTTTGATATTAAAATATTGACAGTCAATAATTTACATACATATATATCAAAGATGTTTTTTCATCCAATAACTGCTCAGAAGCATAAATTCACATTCAGAGTAATATTTTTGACCATCTTGACCATCCAGCCTCACTGACCTGCTGATGTTTGGACAGCGGGTACTTGAGGGTGACATCCAGTGTCTTGTTATACTGCCCGAGGGTGTGCTGTCTGTAATGGGCCACCAGCTCCTGTACTGAGGAGAACTTTAGAGGCTCCACAAACCCATACTTGCCGTTCTTGTGATAGATCTTGATTAACTTATTGCTGCCACCTTTCCTGGAAGTGAAATAAGAAATGATTTAATTTTTGTTAATGGTAAGCATGAAAGTGAATATCAATTATTTTACAGAGATAATTATAAAAAAGTCTGCTGTTCTTACAGCTCAAGGAACAATACTATCCTGAAGAATGTGCAACTTAATTACAGTTAAATCTTATACTTTAAATATCTGAACAATAGATGAATCTGAGCACATCTCAATCCCCAGGTAAGTGGTATCCAGTGTGTTATGTTTACCTGAGTGTTAGTGTGTAGTCTCCATCTCTGGACCATGTGGAAATAGGTGTGTTATGTTTACCTGAGTGTTAGTGTGTAGTCTCCGTCTCTGGACCATGTGGTGGCATTCCTCACCAAGAAAGTACCATCAGGTGTGTCCTTTAACTTCTCATTCACCTCCTCTCTGGAATAACACACCACCCTCATGTTAATATTACTCTTCTTATAATAATAATAATAATAATAATAATAATAATAATAATAATAATGCCAAATTCAATTTCTCTGAAACATTTGTACGTGATTTGAGGACCACTGTTACCTGTCCACAGTAGCATGTATATTATTAGTTTATGCTTGCAGAAATGATGTGTTTTGAGATGGTCCCTAGGCCCAGTCTAAGTGTTTACCTTGATATCTCCCCCCAGTACCACTCTGCCTCCTCCAGGGGGTCCTGACTAGGATTGTTATTCTCTGTGTTCTGGTCCTGAGGGGGCTGCTGGTGCAGTTTGGGGGGTCGAGGGGGTCTGGGAGGGGGGACATCTAGGAATGAAAAGATAAAGTTTAAGTATACAGGAACACCCATACAGCTTGGTGTGTATTTAAATGTTAGATGTTCAACAAATGTTAAACATGTGCTGGAAAACTTGCTTCTATTCTTGAGGCATATTTTACGCTTATTTTTGACAAGTTTCGTTGTTGTTTAGTATCTGTGAAATATCTGTGAACCTTTAATGATTAAAATTATTCAAATACCTGAATTAAAGTTGTCTGACCTACCTGCTGTAGTTTCTGTATAATCTGGCATGGTTTCTCCCCAGTTTCCTCCTCTTAGCAGACAGTCAAATACTCGGATGTGGTATTCAGTATTGTACACAATGTCACTAGAAAAGATAAAAAAATATTTTAATTATACCCAGGAGAAAAAAATGTAAAAATTAAAAACCCTGAATTTCTCAAATTTCCAGTGGCAACAGCAGAGTCTAAATTTTTCAAAACATTAAAAACATGAATCAATTTTTAAAAAAAAAATTAAGTCAAAAAACTATAATCAATCCCATTGGCCGAAAACTTGGGACACAGTGCATTTACAAAATCTTTTCCTCAAATCTCTAAAAGTCTGTATGCCCACTGTCCAGTTACCTGGTTGACCACAGGGGGTCCAGCAAGACCTCAGTCATGGCGGCAATGAGCAACACCAAATAACGACCAACAGGAGGACACCGACTTTTTGTATGGGCCATTAATTTCATTTTCATGATTTAAGTCTCTGATTAATGATTATTTGGGTGTAGGCTCCCAGGCCAATATTTCTGATTTATATTTGTGTGTTACATTCCATCACAGATGTCTCTTTATACAGACATCATAATGATGGCCTTATTTGATAATTAATTTGCCATATTTTCTTCTTAATCTATCACTCCTTATGCCAATTTCAGTTTTCCACATTTTTCTCCCCTGGTGAGTCAGACATGCTGGATCACTGAACTTGTAACTGGGTATGATTCACCTCTCTTTCCATGATTTGTCTCTCACTATTCCAAACACCAAGGAAAGGAAAACACGGCTGTAGAAACAAGACAGGACAGGATAGGTGGCATCTTTGCTGTAGGGAAAGAGGGGGGGGGGGGGGGGGGGGTGACATCTTTGCTGTTGAAGGAAGGGGCCCTTGTTTAAATTTTAGGGTATTTTTATCTGATCCTAAATGTGCTAGGATCTTATTACTGTTCCCCCAAGTATATCATAATGTAGTCCCCCCCCCCCCCCTAAAAAAAAACAAAAAAAAACAAAAACAAAACAAAACAAAAAATAAATAAATAAATAAATAAATAAATAAATAAATAAGTACAAAGTGTGCATGTTTGATTTGGGGAGGAGGGGAGAAGGAGAACTATACTTACATGATTTTCTCCCACGGTGGCCTCATCAGGATATGACAGAACACATGGGACAGTTTGACTGGTGGCTCCCTCTTTCCCAGAGCGTACTGGTGCTGGCACAGGTGGACAAAGTGCGCCATCAGATAGCGCAGAGTGCTACTGTGGTGAGGTGGGAGGTCTGACGCCAGCTGCACCAGGCGCTCCTTACACTGCTCGTCATCTTTGTTTTCTGGAAACAAAACAATGGCAATATCAGCACCATACTAATAATATTAATAACGTAAAGACTTTTTGACTTAAATTTTAATTTTTTTTTCAATGTGCCAAAACTAACAAAGGTAAAGTCATGAAATCTTTAGCATTTATCAAAAACATTTTCCTGATACAACCCACAATTTCATTGCAATATGTCCAGGACTGTTGAAGTTATTGAACTATGAAATTAGTCATGTTTTTTAGCCATCTGAAATATAATATTACAGTGCTACTGTGGACGATATATTATAACAAAGTGCTATTGTGGTGTTGTCCGACACCAGATGTAGAAAAAAAATACAGATGTTGTTTTACAACTATAACTAAACTATTGTGTTATCCCCTAATAGAGGTAATCTGGGGCAGAGTAAGGCAGGTGCTACAGGTGACTCAGGCACTCACATAGTTGTCACATATCAAGAAGACATCTGTCTTTACAATAACAACTGTGACATACAGAATGGTAAAATGATGTGTCAAGAAGACAATATCATCGTCTACCAAGATTATTATCAAATCTGGGCCTCGTGTCACTGCACTAATACTTACTAGCAAACATAGCAGTCAGAGGACTATCAGGTCTTAACCAGAAACTGATCTGCCCCTGGCAGCAAAAGTTTTCCAAAGCTTCATTTCCTTAACAACATTTTACCTTCTCTTATGTCTTCACGTGTTTCACTGACATAAACAACAGTCTTTGGAAGTCAGAAAATCTAATGTGTTGACAAATGATGACCTTGCTCTGAGCTTAGATCCAACTTGCCATCACCACACTGAGTCACACTTATCAAAAAGAATGAAATCTTATGCTAAGTTAGACATCTCAACTCAGGTATGGGAAAACACGTCATACATAATGGCTGCAAGCATCTTCCGAGTAAGATTTTTATGGTTTTTAAGGTTCAGAGAAGACGCAAGCATGCACATGCACAAACAGACACATGCACGTATGCACACACGCATGCATACACACACACACAGTGGCTCTACTTATTGCTGCCTCAATTAGTACTCGACTGGAATGACACACGCACATGTGCACACACGCACACACACATGCTCTACTTACTTGCTGCCTCAATGAACTGACTGTAGTACTCGACTGGAATGACAGAGTTGGGCAATTCACGGAGGTATTTCTTCAAGGCACCAGCTATACAGTTCAAGTCAAAATGAGCCGTGTTTAGACCTGATATATCTTCTGAAAAACGAGAAAAGAAAGAAAATAATTAAATGATTACCATATCTGGTTGAGTGTTTATAGGGTTCTCTTCAAGGAGGATGCTGATATCTGATATTATATAATTGTTGACTATGGCAGAGGTCGATGTGTTGTTTTAATTTGCAGACTTCTCACATCTGCGAAAAAAACCTTTTCACCCAAAGCAATAGTCTAATTGTTTTACAGTTTCTTTATTATTTTATCTTGTTGTAATCTCATATTGTTGTCCATGTTTGCTTTAATCAGATTGGTAAAAAAAAAATCCCTGACAATGTCATTACTCAACAGTTTGTTTGGTGACGATGTCATTCGTCATTGAGCTTTATCAGATTTTGAATTCCTAGAATCACATAAGAGCATAAGCCATGCTTATTATTTAATTCCAATAGCTGATGCTATTGATAGCTGTTAATAATATGTATTACATCATATATGCAGCTATCAATAGCATCTGGTATTAATAGCTGTTAATGATACTTGTTACATCCTATATACAGAGGCATGCTTGGTTGAGCTGCACTTGAAGTAGAATGATTAGAAAACGTTCAAATTGTCACATCATGGCCATCTCTCAGTATATCTTTATTATTTCTATTTACAAGAACAATGGTTTGTTATACCTGAAAATGAAGGCCTCAAAACAAGTCTGAATCACAGGGAGGACAAATTTATGAGTTACTGAAAGGATCAACCTGGGGAGGGGGGGCATAAAATAGTTCATTTTGGAGTAAAGAAGGTGCTGGAATCAATCATACTGTACCTGAGTTGAGCACCGCCTTGAGTTCTTGAATGGCTTGTGTCGAGGAAGAGATCCTGTAGACATCAAACAAATCCTCTCCTAAAATTAAAAAAAAAAAAAAAGAAAAATATGAAATTACCATTCCTGTTCTCATTTTTTGGAATAACAATATTCAAGAATGAAAAGAGAATAAATGGTACAAACTTCAATTCACCTGTCAAGAGTAATAATTTTAATCTTGTGTAAGAGTCAAAGGCACCTGTGCTTACTATTTCCTCATTCAGGACAAAATTAATTTTATTTTTCAAAAATTGTATTGAATCTATACCAGGTAAAGATGAAAGGCATGGCAGGTTTATGTGAAAGTATGCACTTATGAGCAAACTCTAATGCTGAATTTTAATGAAATAATCTACTAGTATAAATAAGGTGGTTAAAAATTTGAGAGCAATGGCCGTACCAGTATCTTTCCCTCTTCTCTCTATCTCTTGTGTACAGTGGACAATGACATCTGGGGCTTGTTGATCTGACGGATTAAACTGGTCTGTGAGATCAGCACCAAAGACAAAATCTGAAAACACAGCAAAACAAAGCTATTACACATCTTTTAAGACAGGCAATTTCCACTCACTGGTAGCCAAGCCAAAGGCGACATGCTAATTATTTACATTGTTAAGTACTGCAAGACAGGCTATAATAAATATGAACAGGAAAAAAGTACAAAGAACGGTAAAAGGGTTCAATATCCTCTTTTACAAACATCCTTTCACAAAGCAAAAAAAAAAAAATCAATAATAGTAATAAGTTTATTGAGCACTATATGACATGAATACATTTGCAGGCTCACTAGACTACATTATTTACACATATAATTTATATATGTTTACATACAAACAAACAAACAAACAAATAAATACAAATGAGTTGCATCAAATATGCCTCTTACTTGCTACAAAGCTAATCCTCCTCCTCTTCTCCATGATTTCTGGACTGCAGCAGATCAGGCCTGTCTTGGCACATGTCCTGTGACAGCAGAGGCCACACTCTGGAGAACAAACAACAGGCAACGTCTGCCTTTAGAACTGTTCTGACCACAAGTGTGAAGGTTCTTAGAATCTAATGTCAGTTTGTCAATGAATTTTACCACGCAAGTTCTAGAATTTGGTTTATATATATTGTTTACTCACACCAAAGTCAACTGACAGTTCAGTGAAATAGGGTAGTGTTAGAGATCGCTTAGACAGCAAAAAATGTTAAAATGTAACATTTAAAAGCAGAATATCATTATTATTAAATAACCCCCTCCCCCCCCCACAAAAAATAAACAAACAAACAAACAAACAAACAAATAAATAAATAAATAAGGACTGATAAAAGCCAGGTGTAAGCCCTGGGTGGTGGCTGTGGCCTACCTCGACACTGCAGTCCCTGATGCATGAGACCGTGAAGGAACTTGTTACAGATATGACAGCGTTGGAGAGACGAGAAGCTGTATTCCACCACTTTATGGTCAGTGTCTACACAGTTCACTGGAAGGACAAGAGAAAAAGTTACATGTCAGTGTAACAAACAAACAAACAAACAAACAAATCAATCTATTAACAAATAAAATCTAAAGATATATCAGGCATGAGACCAGTCCTCACCAAAAAAATAGGATTTACATGATTCACCCTGAAAAAATTGGAATTCTGATAAAAGTCCCATCAGCGTATATATAAAACATTCAACAGAACCTTGTGTGGACTTACCTGCCACATCCAGTGGTTCATTAGAGGGAGGTAAGGCAGACCCATGTGGTTGCTGGAATGATAACACAACTACACTTATAATGTATACACACTCAATGTTTATACAGTTTTTATTCTCTTGAGGTGAAATCACCCAAGATCTTCATTTCATATTCTGTTGCACACATATATATACGGGGAATCTAATGCCAATTAATTAAAGAAATAGTTAATTAAGACTGCTAACATGAGTGTTGGAATATTTACCTGCTCTGACTCCCTGCCGCAAAGATCATCAATACACACAAGGATGGCTTTTCTGTGAAAATCATCTAGAATTCCCATAACCTAGGAGACAGTGAAAATGAAAAATCTCTAAATCACTTGCCACAACACGCGACTTGGGCCTGAAGACACCCAATAACACAGAGACAATACCAACTACAGAAAGATGAACTGACAATAGATCCAGACAAGTGCCCGAGTCTGACAAGTTTGACTCCAATGACAGAAATTTGATTCTACTCAGTGAGTAATATCTGGATTTACTGCGTATAGGACTTCAAGACATCCCTCCACTAACAAACGCCCACTCTTCACAGCTTTATAGCATCCTCTCCCAGCGTAGCAGACATTCACTGTATGGGGCTAACATCTTGTTAATCAACAGGTTCCTCTTATTGAAAACTTAACAGTCAGCTGTCAATCATCCCACTGCTCAACCAATCAGAGCAAAGCACGAGGTACCCCAGTTAAATTAGACAAAACAATAACTTTAACCTCATCAAGTCCTTGAGCTGTATCTATTCTCTCTTTATCTCACAACCTGAGGACATTAAAATTAAATTCTAATGAGAAGCCAACATGGGCCCTTTCCTTTTTGAGTTGTTTTTAAAATAAATTTGGTTACAGTCATGGTAAATATCTTTTTATAATCAATACATGCTTAAGTTAAAAGAATCCTAACAGTATCTGTTAAGTAAGTGTCACTCTAATCCAGGTTAATTTGACACTAAACCCATTCATGAAAACAGTACAAATAGGAATACATAGAAGTATGTGAAAACTTCCTCTGTGGAAATTGAAAATCATGTCCACAAAATTCTCTATATTATATATACAATAGCCTTTAAACTGCAAACAACTTAAAAAAAAGAAATAAAAGCTAACTGCAGCTAAACTGAAAAAAAAAAAAAAAAAAAAAGGTTGCCTACATTTTTCAAAATTTCATTTTCTCTTTTTCAATCTCTTCACCCAATCGCCCAACCTATCTCTCCCTAATCCATATTTTTAACTTATGGTGCGGTTGTTTGTCTGGTTTCACTTGATATCTAACTGGAAACTCTAATCAGTAACACTAAACCTAATCAGCTTGTAATCCAGCACTGGGCTTCCTTCTTCTAATGAGCACACAATACTGCAGCACTAGAGGATGAAGCCAGGTTCCAGAAAACGAGCTCTTATAATTTAGGAGGAGAAATAAACTGATTAAAACAATACAATCCAAATCTGGCCTTGACATTCCATTCCCAAGAATCCAACAGGTTTCTCTGTGATTAAATCACGTTTTTCTTCACTATCTGCATTAACACAATTTATCAAGGTCAAAAACAAACCAATGTCAATAACTAAAAATACATCATTAACTTCCTAACACCCAAAATAATACACAATTTTATCAGTTAGTTTTGAAATATGTGATTTCATAAAATTACTCCTTTTATAGCGTTTTTATAGTGCAGAAAAGTTCATATGACAAAGTTAATAAATGAACCCTTCAGTAAAGTTAAATATGAAAAAATATATTTGAATTTTTGACTTTTTATCTAAAAGAAGCATAAGATTAAAAAAAAGATATATTATTTACCTCTAGTTTACTTTCATCCAGCGTCATTAAATCCTTTCCTTTGATATTGTTCCGTTTGAAGAGTTCCACATATCTATACAGGTTCAGGGCTGCCATCCACTCTAATACTTGGGACAGAGTCCACGTGTGGACGGGCTGGAGAATAGACAAACATAATATAACATATCTATACAGGTTCAGGGCTGTCATCCACTCTTATACCTGGGCTGGAGATTAGACATTAAAACACACACAGTAAATAACCCAACCAAATATTACACTGGCAAGATTTAAATACTACTGAGAACTACAATTTGAATCATGAGTGTGTGTGCGTGCGCACGTGTGTGCGTGTCTTCCAGACATTTCAGTATAGTCAGGGGCAACAGAGGCCTTTTTCTGGGTCTTCGAGAAGACGGTCAGAATTTTTCAAGTTTACATGGACAGGCATCTATTTTTTCTATTAGAAGACATTCAAAAATGGAGGATGGATTAATAAAGTTAATTTGAAAGGTCGTCAAAAAAAATCTCAGGAGCCGCCCCTGATAGGCAAGTAATCAAGGGAAAAGGAAACTGATTACAATGGACTAAAAAAGTCTAGCAGATTGCACCAATTTTCTGGTAACATTATTTCAACTGGGTGTCTTCATTCACTAATCAGGTGCAATGCCACATTGATTGGCGTTATTTAACACTATTGTGACGTGTGTTGAAACTAATACTTGACAATGTTCTTGGAATAGCATGACAGAGCCTGTGTCACCAAACTCACATATGACGGCAAGGAATGTGGGCGTTCAAGGAATTGAGACAATCAAGCTTATCTATCAGGTGGTAATGATCTTTTCAATAGGGAAAATTGTGAATTTTACAGAAACTGCATTTTTAAAGTTATAATTCCTGAAATTAAAACATTCCTAATGAGTGGTATCAACAAACCTGATAAACTGGCTACCCTGTATACAGTAAAACAAATGAAACATACAAATATCTATCCATAATGATTCCAAAATAATGAATCTCAGAGATTGATAATTTTCCCATTTGAAAAGACCGAATCATAAAAACATGGTTACCTCTGCTTGATACAGTAATAATGCACCTTAAGCTCTTCTTTAAAACCCCATAACAATATCTAACCAGTCATGGACTTGTGGCCTAGCACACAACTTCAGCTCTGCTTTCAAACCCCACATTAATATCTACCCAGTCATGGGGCTCTGTCCTAGCATACATCTTCTTACAATTCCAACAGCAATATTTTCCCAGTCATGGCAAGCAATTCCTGGTAAAAGAAACCTACTAGTCCACTTACGTTATAACTATGTCCTGGACAAGCTGGTGGCCTTCAACAACACTGAGTCACTTAAATGGTCACTGGTCAAGAAGTGGACAACAGCCATTTAAAAAGTTCACAATCTGTGGCAGGGCAGCAGCAGCAGCAGCTCTCACCTATGACTAATCCTACTTTCTTCAATTCACTAAGCATCTTCTGCAAGCCTGTGGCCAGCAGCCTCAAAGGTCTGGGTTTCTTTTTTCAGAATGAAGTGGACCTTTTTTACTCGTTTGGTTGATCTAACTTATGAAATGGAACCGAATTCAAATTTTGATTCAGAGCAGGTATTTTTCTGGCNAAAAAAAAAAAAAAAAAAAAAAAAAAAAAAAAAAACTGCAGCTGAACTGCAGAAAAAAAGGTTGAATACATTTTTCAAAATTTCATTTTCTCTTTTTCTCTCTTTCACCCGCTGACCAACCTATCCCTCTCGAATCCATATTTTTAACTTATGGTGCGGTTGTTTGTCTGGCTTTCCTTGATATCTAACTGGAAACTCTAATCAGTAACACTAAACCTAATCAGCTAGTAATCCAGCACTGGGCTTCCTTCTTCTAATGAGCACACAATACTGCAGCACTAGGAGCTGAAGCCAGATTCTAGAAAACGAGCTCTTATAATTTAGGAGGAGAAATAAACTGATTAAAACAATACAATCCAAATCTGGCCTTGACATTCCGTTCCCAAGAATCCAACAGGTTTCTCTGTGATTAAATCACGTTTTTCTTCACTATCTGCATTAACACAATTTATCAAGGTCAAAAACAAACCAATGTCAATAACTAGAAATACATCTTTAATTTCCTAACACCCAAAATAATGCACAACCTTATCAGTTAGCTTTGAAATATGACTTCACCAAATAACTTGTTTTAAAAGTGTTTTTACAGGGCATAAAAGTACATATGACATAGCCGAAAAATGAATCCTATAGTAAAGTAACTTACGAAACAATATATTTGAATTTTTACTTTTTATCTAAAAGAAGTATAAGATTTAAAAAAAGATATATTATTTACCTCTAGTTTACTTTCATCCAGTGTCATTAAATCCTTTCCTTTGATATTGTTCCGTTTGAAGAGTTCCACATATCTATACAGGTTCAGGGCTGCCATCCACTCTAATACTTGGGACAGAGTCCACGTGTGGACAGGCTGGAGAATAGACAAACATAATGTTAAAACAATTCCCTAAATGTGACATGCATCACCTAGCAAGCAGTGACGAGAAGGTTAAAATCATACTAAGCCCAGAAAATGAGAAAGAATTGTACGCTGTTGGTAAATACATTCAGAGGGCAATTTCCAAAAGAAATGAGCATCTGCCACACTGAAGTAGCCTCATCCTGCTATATATTATATGAACCTTAAGTATGGCACATTAGATACATATAGCTATAAGCCTATCAAAGAAAATGTGTGTTCCCTCAGTGTATTGAACTATTTACAATTGTAATAAGTATTTTAAACAACGTATACACTGTAATTAATAATCTTAAACACTGTATTAGTAGTAATCCATAGTGATGTATAACTATTCATTTATTTATATATTTGTAGTATAGAGGGCTAACAAATGTAACTGCCACATTTAATGCTCGAATAAATTATTATTATTATTATTATATAATATAACATATCTGTACAGCTTCAGGGCCGTCATCCACTCTAATATCTGGGCTGGAGATAAGACATACTAAAACACACACAGAAAATAACCCAACACAATGTTAGACGGCTAGATTTAATTACTACTGAAAACTACAATCTTCCAGACATTTTAGTAGAGTCAGGGGCGACAGAGGCCTTTTTCTGGGTCTTCCAAAAGACAGTCAGAATTTTTCAAGTTTACATGGACAGGCATCTAATTCTTCCTATCAGAAGACAGTCAAAAATGGAGGATGGATTAACAAAGATAATTTGAAAGGCTGTCAAAAAATATCTCAGGAGCCGCCCCTGATAGGCAAGTAATCAAGGGAAAAGGAAACTGATTACAATGGACTAAAAAAGTCTAGTAGATTGCACCAATTTTCTGGTAACATTATTTCAACTGGGTGTCTTCATTCACTAATCAGGTGCAATGCCACGTTGATTGGTGTTATTTAACACTATTGTGACGTGTGTTGAAACTAATACTTGACAATGTTCTTGGAATAGCATGACAGAGCCTGTGTCACCAAACTCACATATGACGGCAAGGAATGTGGGTGTTCAAGGAATTGAGACAATCAAGCTTATCTCTCTTGCAGCACAGTAATGACTCGATCTTTTCAAAAGGGAAAATTGTGAAGTTAACAGATACTGAATTTTTTAAAGTCATAATTCCTGAAATTAAAACGTTCCTATTGAGTGGTATCAACAAACCTGATAAACTGGCTACCCTGTATACAGTGAAACAAATGAAACATACAAATATCTATCTATAATGATTCCAAAATAATGAATCTCAGAGATTGATAATTTTCCCATTTGAAAAGAACGAATCATAAAAACATGGTTACCTCTGCTTGATACAGTAATAATGCACCTTAAGCTCTTCTTTTAAACCCCACATTAATATCTACCCAGTCATGGGGCTCTGTCCAAACACAACTTCAGCACTGCTTACGAGCCCCATAACAATATCTACCCAGTCATGGGCCTCTGTCCTAGCACACAACTTCTTACAATTCCCATAGCAATATTTTCCCTGGTCATGGCAAGCAATTCCTGGTAAAGGACACCTACTAGTCCACCTACGTTATATTATAACAATGTCCTGGACAAGCTGGTGGCCTTCTACAACACTGAGTCACTTAAATGGTCACTGGTCAAGAAGTGGACAACGGCCATTTAAAAAGTTCACAATCTGTGGCAGGGCAGCAGCAGCAGCAGCTCTCACCTATGACTAATCCTACTTTCTTTAATTCACAAAGCAACTTCTGCAAGCCTGTGGCCAGCAGCCTCAAAGGTGTGGGTTTCTTTTTTCAGAATGAAGTGGACCTTTTTTACTCGTTTGGTTGATCTAACTTATGAAATGGAACCGAATTCAAATTTTGATTCAGAGCAGGTATTTTTCTGGCCTGAAGGGTGGTTCATTCTAACCCATTCACCCCTCCCTGCCCAAGGACCTGTTCTGATACTGATGAAGGCAGTGGTCACTTGATATCAAATGTATGACAATGGCTCCATCTCTTCAATGTGGTAAATTGTGAATTTTACAGATATTGTATTTTTGAATTCAGAAATTCTTGAAATAAAAACATTCTAATTACTGAAAAGCAGCTAGGCCACCTTGAATTTCTTTCATATACAGCAAAAGCACTACAAATGCAACGCAAAAATACATTTTAAATGATTACAAAATTATGTATCTGAAAGATTGATAATTTCCACATTGAAAAGATCGATTCATTCCCATACATTATGATTTTTCAAAGTATCAGTGTATTGTTTTTCTCTCCATGCAATCCAGAGTTGAAGTTCTGGCCAGTGTGTTGCCACCTCCACACTTCCTCGAAAGAACCACAAAACTTACAGGCTTCAATAAACTACTTGGAAGATGGCCAAGTAATATTAATAGTGAGTTCTTAGAATAATATCACAACCCAGGAAAGCCTACCAAACAGCCAGTGAATAGGCAATCGCCTTTGCCTATAAGTGGCAAAATTGATGCAATTTTTTTTTGAAAAATGATCAATGTACAAGTCATGAAGTTGATTGCCTCAGATTTTCACCTTGGAAGACAGGACGCAAAAACAATGAATGTCCGCATGCTCAAAGTTCATCACTGTTATCATCTTCAATAGTTGATGAACTGCCATGATATTTCAGGACCATGCTATTCTGTTATTGTTATTGAACTCAATAGAAATTATGTAATCAAACACATTTACCAACAACTTCTGGATGAAATTATCAGGACAAACAGCAAGAGTGGACCAAGTATAATCTGTCCGATGTCAATAAGAAGTTTATTGAGCAGGGCATTAAAAAACTAAGCTGTACTGATTTGAAAATAGAAAATTGACAAAACTTCAGCATTTTTCATTCGGTGGTTTTCATTGAAAAAGGCAAAAATGCAGTTAGCCAGGTTAAATTGAGCATGGAGAATCAATCACTACATTGTACAAAAATTGAATGATTTTCCTGTTCATTGTTCGAAGTTTTTCAAAGTAAGAATGATAAAGATCTATAAAAAACTCACCACTTCCTCTGTGTATGTGTTATTATCTGCTACTGTAGCCGAGGTTCCTCTGCATGCGTCTGAACTGTTACGACAACACTGGTGGTAGCAATGTTTACACACTGAAAGTAAGTACAAAAATTATTGATACCATAGCAACACAGAAAAAACTTCATATCAGAAAAATTGCTACGGTTCTTATGTACAATCCCTTAAGCGCTGTTATAACTAACTTTTTCAATCTGAACAGTAAACTAATTGATATTAGGATATTACCATAGATACTGTATCATACACAAAATGGTTGTGATAATACTTCTGCATTAAGTGGTATTAACTCTACCAATAATGAGTTGATCTTGCTTCCATTATATGGTAAGAGCAATCTGATCAGAATAACAGCTTTTCTACAAGACCACAATGTTTGCCACTAGACTGCAAAATTGCAGCAAAAAATATCGTAAACAGTTAGACCTTCAGATTGTACACACATTTAAATTATGAAATGTCAACCTGAGTTGCTGTTTTGCAACTCTGAAACTTCGAAGCTAAATTTCCCCTTTAGGACACCCCATAGGGATGGTATTACTACAAGTTACTGTTACATTTCCGTCAACATCTTGTATTGTTAATTTCCACAAATATACCTAATGAAGAGTGGGAGTAGTGACACCTGAAATGTGATGTGAAACTACACCAACGTTACACCTCTTTTCTTAGCTAGCACTCCTGATGTGGAGGAAACAATGTTTCTATAATAAGATTTCCGACAAAATACATCAATGAAATAGCAGCTAATTTCGATATATGAATTTTGGGTGTAGGGGAAAATAACAGGAAGAAACAGCTCAGTAGCCTTATGACTGGAGGACTGGGGGGCTTGTAGTCAGAAAATTACCAATGAAAAATCAGCTCTTGGAGTTAAATATTAATTACAATAATAAAATACATATCTGCATCAAATCCTAGGAGACAGAAAAGGTACCTGTTAGTCCAACTGGTCACTCCGCATTTGTAAAACAAACTTTTCCTTTTTTTATACAATGAAACATCAACCTGTGTTGAATATTGTTATCAAAAAAGCCAACTCACTTTTTGAACTATTTCTTCTACCTCTTCCGAATTTTTCTGTCTTCAGCACAACCTGTGCTCTCACTTTTGTGTCTTTTCCCAAAATGAGCCCACCACTCGACACCAATTGTACTTATTGTAGATGACATAAGCACAGCTGTGCACTGTACCCCATGGGTAGAAAGCACAGATTGACCCAGCAAAAATCAATGAGTTTGATCAATTACTGGAACTTTTTTCATGCCTTAAGTCACACGTTACGAAGGATGACGAGACAGGAGGGGCAATGTTATGGCTCAATTCCCGCCATTACCACATCTAATATAACAGAGTGGACATGACGTCAATACTTCACTGACATTTTTCCCATGAAAATATTGCATGCTTGCATACGCATGTGAGCAAATTTCATCTGTAAATTTATAATACTTCACATTGCTCAAGTTAACCTAAACCACCTGTAATTTCACCCAATATTTCCAGCCTGATAATGGCCTTATCCACAGCATTAGGTTGATACACTGATAGCAAGACTAGCGGAATATCTCAAAATGATGGAACAGTAGTGATTTACCACGTATTCCAAAATCAATATTTTGTTTACAACACCAGTAGAAAGGTTATCTTAAACAAAGGAAAAGAGAGTTGGCTTCATGTGAGAGCGTTAATCTAAAAAATCTTGGCCAAAAAATCAACGCAGGAAAAAGTGAGGCCTTTGAAATTAAGTAGCTGTTACCGTAGCAATGTCCAGGCCCAAGGTGCGTGTATCTGAGAGCACCTGTTGTCTGTTATCTCCACTGTAACACTGCCACTGATTCACAGACAGACGTAGCTCACTGTAAGGTGATATTGATTTCAAGTATTTATGTACCCGCTGATACTGCAACATAATCTGACCACACTCTGAGAAAACCAAACCCATGTCCTCAAATTATCAGGTACTTCTACCAGTACCAAAGCAACAGATGGCAGGATGTCCAGGACCCTATGTGTGCTGTATTTGAACTTTATAAAAGGACAAAGAATGAACCCAATAACAAGATTAATAAAAATTTTTTAAATATATTTCTTATTTCTTGAATAACTATAAGATTTAAAAAATAAATCTCAACATCTTCAGCAAGACTGAATAAGACATGATCTTGATATATGAATTGGGAGGGGGGGGAGGAACCATTGTGCTATATTAGTTTGAAGAGAAAATCAAGGTGGAGCAGGTAATGTATGATGACAAATACACACACATACACGTTAAAAAGCCACTTAACAAAAATAGGCAGCGCTGTTTCAACTGAATGAACAATTCTACAAACTCTATCAGATAAGCTTCACATTATAGTCAGATATGACAGACAACGCTAAGTGTGGAACATCTAACACATTCTTCTCCATTCTCACCAAACACAATACTGCCACTGGCTGCCTTCAGCATGGGTCTGTGTAGAAAGAGGCAAAGTGCTTCATTTTCAGCCAAATAGGAAGCCACTTTGCCCCCCCCCCCCCCCCCCCCATACACCGACCATCACGGTTCACTGACAGATATGTGCTATTTGTGCACCAAGCCCAGTTACTGAAACAGTTTCATATATCAAAGACTCCAGTGAAGAGGCAATGAACCACGGACTTTATTAACTCACAGATGTGAATGTGATGATTCAATGGGCCTGTTAAGTGCTCTCCAGCTCCTGTTTCTCAATCACTGGTTTTAAAGTTAACAAAATATCTATAAAACCATTAGCCACAAACACAGACTATACCTACAGAAGGTACAGGAGTAAGTCACCTATCTATATAGCTATCTCTCCAGGCACAGGTATCAAATACAGTTGGGTCTGAAAGGCTGTTGTCACAAACATGATACCTGATAGTTCTACTGTCAGAAATGTTCAATTTTTAAAATAGCATATCCAAACAAACCATAGTGACTGTACCAAGGGGTCACACTGTACAAGTCACACTGTACCTTACAGGTTACCCAGGTGAATATCAATACTAATCCATATTTCTGTACTGAGACCTCGTGCTAGTTGCCATGTGGTGTGGCGTGGCCAGACGGGTTAATTAAGTTCAGTAACTGTCCTGGAGGGGGGTAAAAGCGGCCACACAGACAGAATCAATGCCAGTTCAATACCTGGAAGAGTGCAGGGGGTGCACAATACCATGGGAGGATGGGGGGAGGGGGGCACCCATATCAGAAAGCTGGCAAAAAACTTGGAATAAAAAATGCTCCATTTTTAGAAGAAAAAAAAAACAAAAAACAAATGAAGACTGACTAGTGCTTGTTCTTAATAATGAAGGTGGGTCCATTTTCAGAAGAAATTAGGCAAAAAATTCATTAAAATGTAACTTCTGACACAAAAGGAGAGATAAAAAATTCTTAAATTGTCAAACTAGACAAAACTAAAAGTCTTCAATCAGTGGTGACTGGGCAGAAGTCAAGAGATATGTAAACAAGTGTCATTGTGTTACCTGTCCCCTCACCTAGACCTCCTCTAAGACAGGTGAAAGAGGTCCTGCCTTCTAAATCAATAATTTATGGACGTCACCTCAGTCTACCTCACTCAGGTGTAATACAGGTGTAATACCTGAGTTCTGATAATGTGACTATCCTGTGACCCCAACCAAGCTGGTACCCAGGCTACTATAGGGATACAATTCAGTTCATCATTCTTACAAAATTTACTGCCACATGAATTTTTTTTTCAGAACCAACCACTTTTTTTTTATACTTCTTTATGTGTGTATTCTTTTTAGTCATTTCCCTTTCCTTATTTTAATATTTTTTTACAAATCTGCTGCTGTAAATTTGGCATATCTTCAAAGAAGAAAAAAACCAAGTGTGATTTAATGCATGGTTACCACATAGGTCACATACTTCCATCTACCCAGGTAATATTATAAGCTATATTCCACATCTATGGAATGAGGAAAATTCTTAGAGCTTCTTTGATGCACAATCTTAACAAAATACTTTCTTCTCACAAAATTCTCTGAAAATTAAGCGGGAAGGCAATTTTGCAACGCTGTCATATTTTTCACTTTCATAAGTCCGTCACCTAATATGGCCATGTCGGATAAACGCATTTTATAAAATGAATTAAATTTTGAGTGAGGAAAATTTTCAAGATTTTTCCATAGTCACAAGTGACAGTGGTTATCAACCAATAACATATAACAAAAATTTCCCTCTATCACAAATCCTCTCTCTCTCTCTTTCTTTCATTATCATGCACACACGTCTATACAGAAACACAAGCAAACATACTCACACATACACAAATGTTCAAACACACACACACACACACACGTATAAACATACACACACATAGCCCTACACATATGTACATATACACATACACATAGCCCTACACATATGTACATATACATATACACATAGCCCTACACATATGTACATATACACATACACATAGCCCTACACA